CCAGAGGAAAACCGGTGCCGGAGGAAAACTGGTGCCGGCAGCCTGGGGAAGGAAGGCTTATTGCGCAAATCTTCGTGCAATGGCCTCTAGTAATATATAATTCATATACCATAAAATTCACCTATATGAAGTATATAGTTCAATGATTTTAAATATATTGATGGAATAATATAACCTTCACCATAATTTTAGAATATTTCATCACCCTCCAAAAGAACTCTTTTACCCAGTTAGTAGTCACTCCCATTGCCCCCTCCCCCCACCCACCAGGCCTAGGCAACCCCTACTGTCTCTATAGATTTGCCTATTCTGGATACTGCCTATGAATGGAACCATACAATATGTAGTATTTTATGACTGGCTTTTTAAAATATAGCATACTATTTTAAATTTAGAACCCAGTAAGAGCAAGTTCAATTTCTTCTTCTTTAAATCTTCCTGTAACAATGAGCATACATTATTTTAAGTTCACCTTTTCATTAAGGGTGCAGTCTTTTGAGAGATGTATCTTTTTTCAATGGTTTGAGTTCCAACACTCACCCAAACTCTGCACGTGAGCCTTGGCAAGCTTCTTCCCTCTCTGTGTCAACGCCTTCCCATCTGCAAAATGAAAGAGTTGAATGAGATGGCTGCCTAGGTCTTCCTTGGCAGTGCCAACATTCTAAGATTCTAGACTTCATATGACGTAGGCACTATCTGCAGAAAAGACATTTTATCATCATGTGTGTGGGAAACCCATTCTAAGAATGTCGTCTGGCTAAGTGATCCTGAAATACCCAGTTGTCTTGGGCTATGGCTGACAGAATATTTCTCCAAGGCTGGGTCCTCTTGGCATTCTCTTCGCCTGCAGCTGAGACCTACACATCAGCCAGTTCATGAGCAACAGGTCCTTTGATTCCCATAGGAAGCCTTGTTTCCCTTCATCACTTCCTAATAGCTCCCTTTGGAAACTGGCAAACTCAGCAGTTACCACAAGAGTGTGGATGCCAATCATGACAAAGGCTTTATTTCCAGAATTACAAGCTCAATGGCAATTTAATGATTATGTTGGAATAGGAGCCTTACCTGCGTCCCTTTACAGCTCTTTATTGCTTTAGAAGACTTGCAAGAATTCCCTTTTGGAATTTTTAATGTTAATTTTATGTCTTTTTCTTGCACAGAAGTAATATGTTTTTAAAAAATTTGGAGGAGACAAAAAAGAGTAGAGAAGAAAAAGAAAGCATTCATAATCCTACCATTCAAAACCATGCAGTGTTATCATTGTAGTGTGGTTCTTTTTTATCTCTCAATTGTCCTCATGGTTACAATCATTTTAATTTTATTATAACTATTTGTTTACCTTATTTTGGGTCAGTGTATTGCTCTTGAGTAGGGTTATCAACATTTGAACAGTTGTGATTCTAAGTTTCTCCAAACAGTGGGATATAATTCTGTATCTGATGGGATATAATTGTATCATCATTCCTAATATATAAAAAGCCAGGGGCCATCATGACCAAAACAACTGGACAGATGCCGGGAGCCGGTCCATCCTTGCTGTTTCAAGGGACCTGGCATATATGGCATACTGTTCTTAATATATTTGCTCACCTTCTTGGCAAGATGTGTTTTAACCAAGGTCACCTTCTGAGAAAGGTTGTTTCCCCAGGTAGAGATTTTCCCCTGAAGTTAGGGAGGGAATAAAACCCCTTCACTAAGTGCCAGGCGGGTAATTAATCACTTTAACTACGAACAATCATGCTTAAGTACATAATCTTTACTCCCTGGAATGGAGATAAGAAACGCCCTAACCTTTGGAATAGAGATTGATAGGATTAGAATCAACTGGTATAAATACAGATGCAACAAGACAACGGCAGACAGAACTTAGAACCTACACACAGAACTCAGATGAAGATTCGAGAGACAGAACTTAAGAGACAGAACTTACACGGAACTTAGAAGACAGAACCTGGCTGGAGATCCTGACAAGAGAACCCAACTATGCTGATGAACTGAACACTGCCTCTGTGCCATTCATTCCTTCGTCGCCGACTCCGTCCACACCTTTGGGGACCCCTGGATCCGCTGGGGTTGGACCCCGGCAGACAGACAACCTAACAGCAGGCTGTGTGGGGCGACAAGGCCGGGGGGGGGGATGTGGAGATGGCAGTTGGAGGTGTCCAGGCTGTCAGGGGGGGGGCAGTAAGGGGCAATCAGGCAGGCAGGCAGGTGAGCAGTTAGGAGCTAGTGGTCCCGGACTATGAGAGGGATGTCTGACTGCCAGCAGTCAGACATCTCCCAAGGGGCCCCAGATTAGAGAGGGTACAGGCTGGGCTGAGGGGACCTCCCCACCCCCCCCCCAACCCCCTCTCCCCTGTGCATGATTTTCATGCACCGGGCCTCTAGTATAAAAATAAAAATTGAAATCAGTCCATAAAGTACTTCAATATTGCTGAATTCTATCACCTCCACATTCACCCTTCATTCTTCTTCAACTAAGCATATCTATGGTGGACAAGATTTTCTGCCCTCTCCCCCTCACTGCCTTTAATTTCTCTCCCTAGGACCAATGCAGATCGGATTGGTTGTGAAATTATTGAACACTTCTGAAGCATGGTGATGGGGGCTGGGACTTCAAGGGGTCAGCAGATTTGGGTTCAAAAGATAAGACCCCAAGCAAGCCATTTCTCCATCCTGTGCCTCCGTTTCCTCATTTGTACAGTGAGAGACTAGAATGAGATAATCATTAAGATCCTTACCATCACACTTGTTCCAAGATGTGCCCTCTCTCTTTTGATAATTTTGGCATTTGAGCTCTACCTTAAGAGGTGGAAGGAGGGAAGGAAGAGCAAAGCAGTCTGGTTGCTGATCTGCAGCTGTAGCTGAGGGGCTTGGGCTCTGCTCTGAGCACCTTTATTTGAGTTCTGCTGTGTCCCTTGCTAGGACGATGGTAAGGAGCCCCTCTTCTCCCTGGGCAGTATATCTAGGCACACAACTGAATTCTTTCCTCATCACCTCCCTTTAGGATATTAAGTACATCTCACCTTAGCCTTGCAACAAAATAGAAGTTACAGGCATGGACAGTTCCAAGTGCTTCTGCTTCTTGGGTAATTGTTCCTCCATCACCAACTATTATAAATCATCAGATCCAAACAAGCCTGACAGCTTGAAGCTGCTTAAAATACACTAATTATGGTAAGAAAGTCTATATGGGTAAGAGCAAAGCTCACAAGCTTTATAATCAGGTGTACAAACTGACTGTGGCAGGATTTTCCTAAATAATGAACATCTCAGCTCAGGGTGTTTAAAGTCTCAGTTTACCAAAGTTCAGTGTGGGTGTTATTTTGAAGAGCACAGGTGTGGTATATACCTGTGTGACTCTGGAAAGGTCCTGGCAACTTGCTGGTCAACTTATCCAAGACCCTCTCCATGGTTCTGATCTTACGGGGCCCCTTGCCACTCTAAGAGTTTTGACCGTCAACTCCACTTTGATGCTTTCTCCTCCTTGACCTTCTGTCGTGCCATGAACCGGCTCTCTTCATGTTCTCTCGCCAGTTCTCCATTTCATCCTGCTCTCTGGTTGGGGAGTTTTCCAAAGTTTGGTCCTCAGCCCCGTGTTCTTTTCTTTGTGGACTCTCTCCCTGGGCTTATTTCTCTAGCACTCATATCTTCACTGGGATTACATCTGTCAGGAATTCTAGTCAACTCCAAGCATTTTTTTTGCTGAACATTTCCCTGTTCCTTCAAATGCAGCTTATCAAGAATGAAACTACATCATTTCTCTCCTTAGAACCTTCAATGGCTCCCCTTTGCCCTTAAGATAAAGCCCAAACTCAAGGACCTTCATATAAGGGTCCTCCGTGCCTTCAGGGAACTCATCTAGAGAGGTAGACATGAATCATGACAACGCCATGTTCAAGGTGAGATGAAAGCTTGAGAAGGAGGAAGAGAGGATCTGTCAGAATTAGGAAAGGAGGTAGGTCATTTGTACCTATGCAGCAGGGGAGGATGGAAAGAGTCTGCTTCTCATCCACCCTCATCTGTCACTCCCTGGCTCACACGGTCCTTACTGAGCTTCTCCCAGTTCCTCTGATGCAGAATTTCCCAACTTACTGAGGTCTGAAGAAGTTAGAAAAGGAGGTAGTTCACTTATTTAGGAAGCATAGTATGATGGAAAGAGGAGAGATCTGTGCTGGCATCCTGGCTTCACAACATATTAACTCCTACCCTCTATGCCTCGTTTTGCCCATCTGTAAAATGGGTATAATACCACTCATCCTTGAAGGCTCATGGTGAGGAGTGAATGAGATCATGTTTCTGAAAAGTGTCTAGCACCACCTTGGACCTGTGTAGGTGCCCAACAAATGCTAGCTCCATCTGACCCCAGCCCTGGTCTGACCCCCCATTCCTCACTGTTCCCTGTCCAAACTATGATCCTGGTGAGCATCTGTTATTCGGTTGATTGACATTATCACGGATATAGGTGGTGCCCGCATATCAGGCAACGGCCACTGGGAACCAGGCAGTTTGAATGGTTCCAGAGGGATTTATTCTTCTTTCTGAGAACATGGGTTTAGAAGCCAGTGCTGGAAATGTGACCTAGCCAAGGACACACAGGCAGGAGCTAAGTTTTTCTGTCATAGCGAGTAGAGCCAGAGGCTTGCCAAGGAGTCAGGGCTGGGAAGCCAGGAAGCAAAGAAACGACAGTCTCCCTGGCCCACCACGCCCAGTAATAAAGGCCGGGGCGTTCGCGAGGCCAGTGCTTTGAAGCCACACAGTGAGGCTCTTACTTCATCGACGCTCAGCATGGACGAGGAGTCCTGAGGTAGGGAGAAGCCCCAGTAAAGACTTTTATGAGGTGAGGGACTCTTCTGAGGAAACATAACAAACCAAGGGGAAGGGCTTTTGACCATCGCCAAGTAAGTAGGAATAAAAGGGCTGCCTTCCATGTCCACACCCTCTGCAGAAGGGGTATAAAGGCTCCCAGAACTAGGAGACCCACACGCTCCTTGGAGAACTGGGACTCTGTCTTCAGCCGGCGCCTCGCTCCCTCCCAGCACCATGCCTTACAACTGCTGCCTGCCCAACCTGAGCTGCCGCTCCAGCTGCCCCGCCCGGCCCTGCGTGGCCCCCAGCTGCCACAGCACCCCCCTGCCCGGGGCCAGCAACATCCCTGCCAATGTGAGCAACTGCGGCTGGTTCTGCGAGGGCTCCTTCAATGGCAGCGAGAAGGAGACCATGCAGTTCCTGAACGACCGCCTGGCCAGCTACCTGGAGAAGGTGCGGCAGCTGGAGCGGGAGAACGCAGAGCTGGAGAGCCTCATCCAGGAGCGCTGCCAGCCCCAGGAGCCCCTGATGTGCCCCAGTGACCAGTCCTACTTCCGGACCATCGAGGAGCTGCAGCAGAAGGTGAGGGGTGGGCACCGCACTGCCCAGGCAGGGCCTTGTAGGGAGGGAATGTGAGCTCTGATTCAGAGATAAGACGGGCTCTTGGGGGGATTAAAACACAGGGGTTCCAGTCTGGCTGTTCCATTTTGTTTCCTGGAGGCCCATGTTCTTCTAGGCTCAGGACTGTTAGGTCTGAACATTTGCATAGTGTTAGTCTATGTGGAGGTAGCAGCACTTTGCATAAATACGCTGTAATTAAAAGCTGCTGTGCATTTGCAAGCTCCGGAATTACTACCCTGGGGTGAGAGAAAAGACTGAGCCCGAGAACCTTCGGTAAAGCGGAACCTTCTGTAAAGACCAGACCATTTCTCTCTCCCGCATCTGGACTTTTGATGGCTCTGACCTCTTACTACTGTCCTCTGTGGGTCCCTAATCTCTGAGACATCATTGTCCTGACCTAGATGCCCCTGGGTTTCTCCTGGTTGTACTGTCCAGTGAGGGCATACAATGGTTGGCTAGGACCAGAAAGCTTGAAAACTACCTACCAGGACATGGTGCCAAGCCATCCTGGGTAGTCGGGAGGGCGTGGCTGCTTTCCTGATCCAGCCCATGTTCCCAGCTGCAAGTTTATTTCCTTACTAGAGGCCGGGTGCATGAAATTTGTGCACTCAGTGGGGGGGTGTCCCTCAGCCCAGACTGCACCCTCTTGCAGATCGGGAGCCCTCAGAGGATGTCCGAATGATGGCTTAGGGGAGCCGGCCTAAGCCATCAGTCGGACATCCTTAGTGCTGCCATGGAGTCTCCCACCACCTAGAATTTACACTTGAGCCTGAAGCTAAAATTGCCCTTAGCTCAAAAATCTGCATACCACTGAGACATATTGGTGAGGCTCATTCTGAACCCCCACACTGTTCTATTATGTGTATCAGTATTGGGAACCATCTTTTCTCTTTAGTGAAAGAAACTTTTTGTTATGTTACAATGACTAACTTTATCTCATGAGTTGTGTTTTGGCTTCAAGCCTGTATCCAGTATTCATGCAGCAACTTCAGCTCTTCTGTTCAATATTTACCTGGCATATCTTTTATTTTCTCTAAATCTTTCTAGATTATTATATAGGAATAGCAGTTTTTCTCTCTTGGCCTGATCACAGCCTCCTGGGCAGTCAGTGCTGGGTCGAGGAGGCGCCCACAGTGCGGCAGTCAATACTGTGTCGCCACGGCGACCCAGCACTGACTGCAGGACTGACTTCCAATGTTTGGTCGAGCTTTTGGTCGTTTTGGACGTTAAATATATATAGATCTTCCCCATTGGATTGGGAGTTTCTTGAGGGCAGGATCTAGTGCTTACTCATTTTTGTATCCTCAGCTCTTAGAACCATGCCAGACATATAGTAAGTTTTAAAAAAAATGTTACTCATTATCAACTTCTCAGTACTGCTTATTAGGAAAGAAAAAGAAAGATAATTTATCTACTGATACTTTTCTGGGTGTTCTTTTCAAATTAAATTTCTCAAATCGTTATTGAGCACAGAGATAGCACCTAATAGTCTTATACAAGATCTACTAGGGTGCTCCTTCCAGGTAGATAATTAGTAGGGATTGCCGCTGCTGAAAGCAACCCAGCTCACTCCAGCATGTGTTGGGTCTTCCAGATCCTGTGCAGCAAGTCGGAGAACGCCCGGCTGGTGGTGCAGATCGACAACGCCAAGCTGGCCTCGGACGACTTCAGGACCAAGTGAGTGGCAAGCGGGGTGCTGCCTTCTCTCTGTCCTCTCTGTGCCCTTAGCCTGTGCTCAACACTGACGAACATCAATAGCATTTCCCTGCGTGTGTTCCCCAAGGGCTTGAGGCTCACCAAGGCTTAGAGACCTCTTTTCCGGATTCACCTCCTGCTTCTCTGCAGAACGACATCCCCCAACCTAGTGCTGGAGCCTGCTCCCCAGTGCTCTCCTCTGCACAGAAGTCCACCGGGAGACTATGGGAGATGTATTAATTTTGGACATCTCACTGTTTTTTATGGGCTTTTATCCCTTTAAGTCCACTGGTTCTTTATTTATTAAAAATAATTACAGCCCAGCTGGCGTGGCTCGGTGGTTGAGGGTCGACCTATGAACCAGGAGGTAGGTCATGGTTCAATTCCCTGTCAGAGCATATGGTCGGGTTGCGGGCTCAATCAATGATTCTCTCTCATCATTGATGTTTCTTTCTCTCCCTCTCCCTTCCTCTCTGAAATCAATAAAAATACACTTTAAAAAATAATCACCAGGGAATTTTTCTCTAGGAGCTACTGCTCGGTGTTAAAAACCTAAATGCAGGAGATGGCTGTACGAACACACCCCAACTCCCAGTTGTCTGACAAACCAAACCAGAGTCTAGATCAGGCCTGCAGCTGATGCTCCTGTTACGTATCGCAGGTACGAGACGGAGATGGGCCTGCGGCAGCTGGTGGAGTCGGACATAAACAGCCTGCGCAGGATCCTGGACGAGCTGACCCTGTGCAAGTCTGACCTGGAGGCCCAGGTGGAGTCCCTGAAGGAGGAGCTGCTCTGCCTCAAGCAGAACCACGAGCAGGTAAGGTTTCCCAAGGAGCAACGGGCTTGAACTTGCCACGGCCTGTTTCCAACCCCATGGGGTGTGGGAGAGGCTCAGCAAGCTGGGGAACGTGTTTTCCAAACAAAAAGGGGTTTATCGAGAATGAGTAACCTAAACATCCCTGATAGCAGATTAGGAGTTTTCTGCCGGAGGCAGGAATGAGAGTGAAGGAAGCTGGCGAGCCCAATAATGAAAGGCCGGCAACCAGGCAGTCCCCAAGTCAGAGCACGTCCGTGGGGGTCTTTTATCCAAATTCCCCACTTAGCAACTGGAGAGGCCAGGATGAGGCCTCTCGACACAGCAGAGAGGGATGAGCCGGAAACGAAGCCCCTCTCTTCCTTCCTTCTCGTTCAGAGCGCTTTCTGCTGGACAGGAAACACTGAGAAAAATGCTCACCACCACTGCTCGGTTGCACAATAAAGAAAACTGGTATTACGTGCAAACCTTAAATTCCCAAACAATGTAAATGGTGATAGTTGATATTACTCAAGTGCACGCTGTGTGCCAAATGTTGTACCAAGTGTTTTTGAACTCCAGAGGTAGAAATTGGGGCATTTAGAAGCTTCTAGAAGCCACATAGTAAGGGGTAGAGGTGAGACCCAACTCAAATCTGCCTGACATCCACCGAAGCCCAAGCATCACACAATGTTGGCTCAGTGAGATTAGCAGTGAAATGAAGAGACACTGATTTCCTCCAGCAAGATCTATGCTGGTGGAACCAACAAATCACCAGTTATGTGACAATGGCAGATTTTGAAGTAAACAGTCTTTAATTCATCTTTAGCCAGACTCTACCCTTTTCATTACCCCTGGTTAAGAATCCAACATAAGAGGCTTTCTGGTATACCAGCAAAATCCCCGAACTTGGTGTTTGGGGACCCACAGTGCAAACTGTGGTGCATTACACTTCACCTTCCACATGAGGAGTGGTACACTGCACACGAGGCTGGAAAGAGGTCATGGACTTGAAAGCATTTTGTAGAGTGAAATACACAGATTAGTCATGAATATAGAACCCAGTTAATGAGAGGATCAGAGGGAACTGAGCTGTTGAAAGCTGACGAATGATCACAAGTTGAATTCCATTCTTAGAGGAGAGGATCAGGATCCTTTAATTTTTTAAATCATTAAAATGTAATAAATACTGTTCCAATACTTTAAATCTTCCATCAGGAAGTCAACACCCTGCGTTGCCAGATTGGAGACCGCCTCAACGTGGAGGTGGACGCTGCCCCCACCGTGGACCTGAACCGCGTGCTCAATGAGACCAGGTGCCAGTATGAGGCCCTGGTGGAGACCAACCGCAGGGACGTGGAGGAATGGTACACCAACCAGGTGGGCATCTCAGCACATGGCCACTCAGGACCTTGGGACCCTTAAGGCAGGGTCTGATCCTGTCTCTCACCTCTGGTGTTTCAGACCCAGGAGCTGAACAAGCAGGTGGTGTCCAGCTCAGAGCAGCTGCAGACCTGCCAGGCGGAGATCATTGAGCTGAGACGCACGGTCAATGCCCTGGAGATCGAGCTGCAGGCCCAGCACAACCTGGTGGGTATTGTTCAGACCTGCTGGTGAGAAATCAGGGGAATCAGAGCCACAGGGCAGACCTTTGGGTCACAGTCTCTTTAACTCTTTTTTTAATAATACATTTTTATTGATTTCAGAGAGGAAGGGAGAGGGAGAGAGAGAAACATCAATGATGAGAGAGAATCATTGATCGGCTGCCTCCTGCAAGCCCTCTAATGGGGATTGAGCCTGCCACCCAGGCATGTGCCTTGACTGTGACCTTCTGATTCATAAGTCGATACTTACCTACTAAGCAATACTGGCTGGGTGTCTCTTTAACTCTGGAAGCTTGTGACTTCTATAGAACCTTATAGAGGGACATGCTAAAGGAGCAGCTCTGTGACATTCTTCCTCTTCCCCACACAGAGGGACTCACTGGAGAACACGCTGACGGAGACAGAGGCCCGCTACAGCTCCCAGCTGTCCCAGGTGCAGTGCATGATCACCAACGTGGAGTCCCAACTGGCTGAGATCAGGGGTGACCTGGAGCGGCAGAACCAGGAGTACCAGGTGCTGCTGGATGTCCGGGCCCGGTTGGAGTGTGAGATCAACACATACCGGGGCCTGCTGGAGAGCGAGGACTGCAAGTGAGTATGAAGCTAGTTATACTTTCCTTAAGGGCACACGAGGTTGTGGGGGGTGGGGGCTCTTCTTGATGGAAATCATTTTATAACTTCAAGAGTTTGGTTGGCAACAAAGGAAGAAAGATATAAACAAAGTGTGTTTAGTATCTTCCAGTTTCTTCAGCTCATGTCACCCTAACTTGCCCCAATGGTTTTGTCTCCAGTCTTCCCTGCAACCCATGTGCTACCACCAATGCATGTGACAAGCCCATTGGACCCTGTGTCTCCAATCCTTGTGGCCCGCGTGTTCGGTGTGGGCCTTGCAGTACCTTTGTGTGCTAGAGGCCCTGGTGCCAGGAGGAGGAGAAGGGCTCCGAAGTCACATCTCAACTCTACTTCGTTCAAACATCTCCAACGGTGACCACTTTGGATAAAGGAAGAAACTTCTCTTGCACCAGCTTCCAGGGTTCACCTCTAGGCTTCTGCTGAAATTCCTGGCTTGATTCTTTCCTATAAGACAGCGGTTCTCAACCTGTGGGTCGAGACCCCTTTGGTGGTCGAACGACCCTTTCACAGGGGTCGCCTAAGACCATCCTGCATATCAGATATTTACATGACGATTCATAACAGTAGCAACATTACAGTTATGAAGTAGCAATGAAAATAATTTTATGGTGGGTCACAACATGAAGAACTGTATTTAAAGGGCCAGAAGGTTGAGAACCACTGCTATAAGAGTGGTCCATCTTCTGAGACACATAGAGAAATCTATAAGAGTCAAGTAATATCTATTATCACAGTGACATTTACATAATGTGTTGTACTTTCACAGGTACTCATCTAGATGTGATTGTAAAATAATTTCATTAAATGTGATATTGCTGATGGGCACACTATGAAGCTAAACATAATTGAGAGACATTTTCCATGTCACTCTTTTGGTCTTTGGAGATGCAATAAAAGATCCCTTGTTAACCTCCTAATAAACTTTTAATCTGGCACAAAAGTGATAACTGTCCTTTTCGTTCATCAATTCCAAAGTTGGGTGTCTTGTATAAATAACAAGTAACTGGTGTTCTTCCATCAAATGAAGGGATCATTCACTCTAATATATGGTCTGTGACTTCTACTTAAAGGAAAAGTCTCCACTAGACACACCCACTCATTCTTGTGGATTTCATGTTTGGGAAGAAGGTGGTGGGAAAGGAATGGCAAATCCATGAGGGTCTCTGCAAACGTTTTCTGTCAAGCTCTTCAGAGGGAACATGTGAGCGAATCACAGAAACAGGTCAACAACAGAAGTGGATCTTGAGAGGAAGTCTGTGCCTCTTGGCAACGTGAAATATTGTAACCTGGAAAGAACTAGGAAAAATATACTCAGCCAACAATTATCTTCTCCAACTCAGTCTCCACATGTTGGAGAGGTTTTTGTCCACAGCCATCAAAATCAAGCAGTGACTATTTTTGTTCCTGAAAATTTCATAGTTATGAACATATGCAGAAATATATTGTACACAGAACCAGACTTTTAAGTCAATGCATTACAAGTCATTAAACCAAAATGTTAAAAAAGATTCCTTTTCAATCACATTCTCTCACCAAAATATTATTAATATTAACATTATCTTTCATATTACTGAATTACGATATATTTTGGGAGTGCCAATGTTTATGTCTACTTTATAATAAAAACTAATATAATTTTTAAAGCTTTATTACAGAGGACTTAGTCCTTTAAAATTTTTTAATTAGTCATGTCTGGTGCATATTTAACAACATGCATAATGTTTTACAGATGTAGTATAAAACGCATAAAAATAAGTAAACATATTATAGGTTTGGACTCAAAATTTTTTTAGTAGGGGCATAAAAAGAAATATGGTGAAACCCAGTAGATTGGTGAGCCCTGTTTCCCTATTACCCCTTGAAAAATTGGGATATGACATTTCAACCTGAAATAAAGGTGTGAGTGGAAATTCTTTGGAACACACATGTCTTATTGGAGAGTTGCAAGTCAGACAGTTTTGTTTTGATCACAAAGATCCTTTTCCCAGTGAGAAGATAAAGGTGTGAGTGGAAATTCTTTGGAACACACAATGTCTTATTGGAGAGTTGGAAGTCAGACAGTTTTGTTTTGGTCACAAAGATCCTTTTCCCAGTGAGAAGTCTGATCGCCCTCACCACTGTGGGAGGGGATCATTCAGTCACTGAGGGCCCCATAGAGAACAAAAAAGCAGTGGATTCGCTTCCTTTGCCTGAGCTGGACCTTCATCCTCCCCTGCCCTTGGACATCATGCCCCTGGTTCTCTGGTTTTCAGGTTCAGACAGCATCACACCACCAGCTTTCCTGGTTCTCTGGCTTGCAGATGGCAGATCAGGGGCCTTCTTAGTCTCGTAATCACAGGAGCCAGGTTCCATCATACATCTCATCACATATGTATATCTCCTATTGGTTCTATCTCACTGAAGAACACCAATACATGGTTAGAGAGTGCCAAGATGGCAGGTAATGGGGTTTGTGGTGGCATGAATGTCCCAAGCATAAAATACAGGCCTGGGAAGCTTCTCCTGGGAATAAGAGACTGGAATGGAGACAAGTGTGCATTCAACATGGACCATCTTTTCTGGTTCTCACTCTTCCCTGGCTTCTGCAAACCTGGAGGTAGGTATTGAATTAAATTTGCCTTCAGGGTCAGCTCAGAAGGTTTCTCTCTTCCTTCCTTCAACTTCCTTTGAATAAACCCCCTAGTTTCTTGTTTATGGGAGTGAGGGAGGAAAAGAGAGAGAGATAAATAGAGAGAGAGAGAGAGGAAGAGAGGGTGGAGGGAGAGAGAGAAGCAAAGCATAGAGTGAGAATGTATTGTATGGTTCAGTTAAAGGGTTATTAGTAAACCTCAGGAAATAGCTGATACCAGACACATCTTGGTTTTGTTGTTGAGGAGAAAGGAGAGGGAAGAGGCAGAGGACAATGACTATAGAACCTTAGTATCCCACAGATAAGGGAAAGGATTGCCTAGGAGAAGAGAGAGACTGTGCATGAATAACTCTTATCCCCATGCTCTTCTTACAAGAGCTGGTTTTCCTGTTGACATAGATCCTTCCCTCAAACCTGGGCCAATTTGCAGCTGCAGAGGAAGTGACACTCTGTGACTTCTGAGGATCATTCGTGAGAGGACAAGCAGCTTCCACCAGGTTCTCCTGGGATGCTTGAGACCCAGACACCGAGCCCTGAGGAAGCCCACGCAGTCTTAACGCCTTTCCAGAGGATACACATCATAGAGCAGCGACGGGTCATCTGCTGTGTCTTTTCAGAATGCCTGATCCACAGAATCCATGAGCAGAATAACATGTTTATTGATTTACAGCACTATATTTGGGGTGTTTGTTACACAGCAGTAGAGATCAGAACAGGGACTCTCTCTGGGACCTCTGGTTTGTCTTTTCTGTGGGTTGGAACCAAGTGAAAGCAGCAGACATTACATCTCTATTTTCCAGGACCCACACAATCCTATGGGCATCTAAACAGGGCTGAGTTTCTTTTGTCAGCTGTATTTTTAAAGACCACCCCTGCAGATATACTCCAGCTTGTCATTTATTCCTTTAAAGCAGTGGTTGCCAACCTTTCGGACCTCACGGACCACCAGTGGTCCGTGGACCACTGGTTGGTGACTGCTGCTTTAAAGATAGAAACATAATATAATACTATAGGCCTAATGCATGAAAATTCATGCATTGGAGCAGGGGTCCCTCAGCCCGGCCTGCCCCCTGTCACAGTCCGGGAGCCCTCAGAGGGCGAGGTGACCCGGCGATCAGGGGAAGGCGGCGCACCATCACACCTCTGCTGCTGCCACTGCTGGCAGTGCAAGCCTCGGCCGACCTTGGCTACCTGAGCCTCGGGCAGCCCTGGGCGGCTGGCCAGCCACCATCCAAGGCTTGCCTATGCCTCGGGCTGGGACTGGGGGTCTCCAGAGGCAGGCACGCAGCAAGTCTGGGCCTGCCCCCGGGTGGGCCTGGCCTTGCCACGTGCCTGCCACCCCGGCAGGGCTGAGGGGACTGGTCACAGCCATCTTGTGGCTGTGGGTGCCGCCATCTTTTGAAGGCATGGCAGTCAATTAGCATATTCCCTCCTTATTCACTGTGGGTGCCACCATCTTTGCAATGGTGTGAGCATCAATTAGCATATTTCCTCTTTATTAGATAGGATGTGTTTGATAATTTCAGTATCTGAAGACTCTGTGGTTTGTTTATGCTCTGTTGTTTCTACTGGCTCTCACTCATGGTGCCTTGTTTCCTTGTGTGCTTAGTCATGAGTGACTGTGAGTTGTTCATTGCATCAGTCACGACAGGCAAAGTTATAGTTACCACAGTAACAACTCCCAGGTTTCCCAAATCTCATCACAACAAGAGTTTATGTCTTGTGTTCTAATTCCACCACCGGCCATGAGGAGGCTCCAATCGTCATACTTACTCAAGAAGCCAGGCTGACAGTACCTCCGACTCTAGCTACATTTCCACAGATCTGCTTGGGAGGGCAGCCCATTCTGCAATGACTCATAAGCTTCGGTCTTCAGTGAATAGCATTCACATGTTATTAACCAAAGGAAGTCATTTTCTTTGGAATATTATTTGTGGGACTTCGTTGAGGTAGGATGATGTTGGGTGTTCCTCCAGAAAAGAGTGGCATTTGTTCCTGCCACTGCACTCCGGCACTACCGGTCAGAGACCTCTTTAAATTCATGGCCTGAATTTTTTGGAATCACGCAGGTGATGTGCAAGACCAGTGCCCTGCGGTAGGCGTGGGTGGGCTGAGATTATATATGGCTCACCATTACCCCAAGGGTGTGGCCCTTTGGGGTCCCAGCCTTACGGAGGGGTGGATCTCCTAGAGGGTCTCCACTATGGGTGAGATCTGGATTTTATTTTCTGTTTCTATAATTCAAGTTTGTCAAATTCAGCAAATGTCCTTGAGGGAGAAGCAATTATAGTGCTCAGTCCACCTCTCTGAGCACCTACCAATTATTTAGTTCTTAGATAATTTCTTTGCAATTTGTACTATCTTCTCAGTTCTTTGATGCCTTAAGAAGGCTCAAATTAAAAAAAAAGGAAAAACAGCAATTTAGCTATTTTCATGATGCAGATTAATTCCAACAACCGAGCCTGCCATGTCATCTGAAACAGAATCGAGCTGTACTGTCCAACTCAGAAGCCACTGGCTACATGTGGCTATTCAATGAAAATATATAAACATTAAATACAGTGAAAAATCCAGTTTCTCCATCACATCAGCCACATTTCCAGTGCTCACTGGTCATGTGTGTCCAGTGGACCCCATGTTGGTGGAGCAGACGTGGACATTTCCATTATGGCAGCAGGTCCTACAGAACAGTGCTGATTCCAGACCCAACTGAGCAAAGCAGAGACTGAGAGCGATGAGGGGTGAGTGAGGAGCGGCACCAGGGACTCCATTCTCTTCCAGTTAGCACTTTTTGACTGCATTGCTGACGAGGGGTCATCCCA